AAAAAAAAAGGAATATATGTGATAGTGCCTACCGTCTTCTATCTACATACCAAATTTCAGATCGATACCTCGTGTTTTGGCCAAGTTATAGCGAAAAAACTGTTCAAAAATGATGACGTCAAATTTTAAAACTCAATTTTTGGCAATTCTAGACCTCGTAGAGCAAAACAAAGACCACCATTAGACTCCCCGTGACGAGCTGCATCGAATCGATACCCATTTTATGCAAAAATATCAACTTTGAAATTTGACCTAATTTGACCTGACCTTGACCTGACCTTCACCAAAACGTGGCCTAGGCTGGCCCGAAAGGCTGCCTAACCCACATAATCGCATTTGTCATGTAAAATGGACCATAAAACATGTATCACACGACACTTGTGACCCCCGGTGACCTGACCTCGCTGTGACCTGACCTGGTACCAGTGACCTCAGATAGCAAAGTATGTGTTTGACGAACAATGGTCCATCGATGGTTTTCAATAAATTACCAATTTACTCGATTTCACAGCACATTTCTTGAAATGCATGTGAACGGTGAAAATCCGACCTTTGAACTGACCTGTGACGTCATCGGTTTGACCTAGGTCAATGAACTTTGGTCACAAGGTAGTTCCCCGGTGGGGCTATCGAACGCCGTTTGAATTTTGAAAATCGGCCGGTAAGTTTCCGAGATCTTAGGGGGGGGGCCGAAGCGCCCCCCCCCCCCCCACCTACGGGTGGTAGGGTCCGCCGATAGCCCTACGGGGCGCGGGTTATTAACCCGCGCATGACTGGGGTATTTTCCATAACGCGAGTGACTGGGGGGGCTCTCCAGAGCCCCCCCTCCTATCTCCGAAACTACTGGGCCGATCGTGAAAACTCAAACGGCGTCTGATAGCCCTGGAAAAACTGTCGCGCGAAACCTATTTTCATTGACCTCGAGGTCACCGATGACGTCACAGGTCAGGTCAAAGTAAAAATTATCGACATTTTTGCTAGTTCACAATTTAGGCTCTGACCGCCGGACCACCGGTCCGATCAGGCTCATTTTTGGTTTACGCGCTCCTTGACGGATGCCTTAGATACCCTGAGGGTACCGAACCTTTACTTCGAATTTTTAAGGTCAAGGCCAGCCGCCAGGTCATCCTAGGTCACGAAAATTGTATATTATGTATCGGTCACGTGACGTATGTTTTATGGTCCATTTTACTCGTAGATTTCGAAAATAGTGTCGTCTGTGTCATTTGAGGTCATTGTCAGCTGAATTTACCGGAGGTCAGGTCACTTTCAGGTCAGAAAAGGTCAAATTTTGAAAAAAGAAATTTTTCAACAAAAAAAGTGCCTATCAGATGCAGTTTGAGCTCAGGAACAAGATGGTCCATTTATATTGCTGTACGACTTCAAAAACGTACTGAAAAATGGATTTGAAAAAACCATAAAATTGTAAAATTTTGACAATAATGCGAATAACTTGGCTATTTTTGAAGACATTGGGCTAAAACTTGCAAAGGTAGTTCATCAGTGTGTGTTCTATCACATATTTTCCGGTTTTTGCGAAAAGTCAATTTTTTTGAAAAATCAAAAAATATATTTTTTGTAGTAATTGTAAATACATATTTTTTTTCAAAATTTTCAAAATTTCGAAAATTCGAGATAGCAGTTTGATAGCTACGTGTATTTGTAGTCCACTCATGCAGCAAAGAAAATGGATCTAGCTATAAAACTGAGCTCTTGAGAGCGTTTGCCGTAATTCAGTATTTTGCATGAAAATCGGCCGACATGACGTCACTCTGACGTCATTTCCGGCCAAACTATGGTAGCTAGAAAGTTGAAATTTTGACACAACGTGTCAAATTGATGCCTCTGAGGGTACCGCAAGTTTCGTGTTGATCCGTCAAACGGTTTAGAAAATATTGCTGAAAAACGTGAGGGGGGCTCTGTAGAGCCCCCCCCCAGTCATGCGCGGGTTAAAAGACTGAAGAAAAAAGAGTTGACCGAGATAGTTAAGAAATTTCATGGCGACCGCATGATGAATTCTTACGTTATCGCCAACAGTTGGCATGAGCATTGAGCAGGCTCCAGCCAACGGAAAGGGTAAACTTAAAATAAAGCCTCAGAAAGTTTGGTAAAAATCGGAAGGGGTAGGTTAAAAATGGTCACTGTTCGGTCCACTTGAAACGGAAACCAAGGTTTGGGAAACTTTCTGAAATAGGTACTCCTGGTGCCCTGTATCGCAGGATACCGATCACACTCAATAGCAGTCTGTCAGTAGTTCCCACTTTCCATTGACCTACTGACAGGCTGTGATGCTGTGTCATGTTCAGTAATGTCTCCAGTCCATGCGCACTGGCGGTCGCAGGGGGGGGGGGCCACGGGGGCCATGGCCCCCCCTTTGGTGCTGAAAGGTGGGGCCATACTATCTTTTGGCCCCACCTTTCAGATCGAACAAAAGTCCTAGAAAAGCTTTTCGTATGTTTCATTTTCTTTCTTGCGCCATCAAAGGACGTAAATTTCACTCATGAGTGGGCTCAGTTTCGCATTCTGTCAATTTGGCGGTCAGCGTCGCTGGCACCGGTTCACGAGTATGGCCAGATCTTATATGGAATATCAGCGTGGGTTTACTTAAGGCTCTCGTAGGCCCAGCATTCAGCAATGGCTGGCATGAGACCCTCTTCGGCAGTGGCGGGTGGGCCCTGCTAAAGGAGATTGGCTCCAAGACACTAAAGTAAGACCTCAAGGGTTGGTGCTGTGCACCTCAGAAGCCCGGTGGTGACGCCGTATGCCGGCTTGGTTTCTTAAGGATTAGCGTGGGACCTTCGGGGCCTGCATAGAGTTTGCATGAGCTAGTATGTAATCTCAGAGGCATGTGTGTAATGTGTACACAGTGGCGGTCGCGGGGGGCCGGGGGGGGGGGCATCAGGGCCATGCCCCCAAAGGTCAATAAAGGGGGCCATCATATCATTTGACCCCCCCCCCTCAATCAACCAATGGGCCCCCATATAGGTGTATGGGGCCCTGGCAATTATTCGATCGTCACGAGGCTATAAAAAAACACGCCAAGCTATTAATATAGCTCCCACGCGTCCTACACTGACCTTTGAGGGAACTTCAGTGGCGGTCAAGCGCCCACGTTGACCGCTAAGAGCCTACATCAACCTCTGAGGCCCCACATCTGGCCTATGAGGGCCCCTAACCGGCCTCAGGGATCCCAACCGGCGTCTGAGGGTCTCACACCGGTCTCTGGTGGCCTTATTTCTGTCTCTGGTGTCCCAAGATGAACCTTTAGGTGCCAATAAGGGCCCCGCACTGGCTGCTGAAGACCCGATGCCGGCCTCTAAGGGTCTGCATTGGCCTCTGAGGAGGGCCCATCTTGGCCTTTGAGGGCCCTCTGCTGGCCTCTGGGGTCCAACGACGGCTCATGCCGGTCTTTTAGGGCCCCACGCCGACCTCTGAGGGCCCATGTTGGCCTGTAATGAGTAAGGACCCACATCAGCCTCTGAGAGCCCAACTCGGTCTCTGATGGTCTCAAACTACTGGCCTTTGTAGTTTGCAGGCCCTGTACTGGTCTCTGAGGGCCCTAAACTGGCCTCTACATGAAAACATACATGGGTGGGTTTCTGAAGATCAGAGGGCTCACGCAGTCTCCGGCACAGCCTTACGTTGGTCCTGATCGAGATTGCTTAAATTGCTTTACGTCCTGATGGTCCCGCGCTGATTCCCTCATATTTCGACGTCGGGTCCCCATGAGCCGGTGTGGGTCCTGGGGCTGGCAGAGACTGATGAAGTCCTTAGGGCTCAGGGCCAGTCTTTTTAGCAGTAGGACTACGCAGGTTGAGTGAGCCCCAACAGAGCCGTTGCGAAGCCCCGCAGGAGTCGCGCGCGGCCCTCTGAAAGCTCGGAACCTGTGGGGGTCTCCAGAGGTCGGTGTACCTACTCTCTCCCGCCGCCACACAACTAGGTACCTATATGGGTAAATGTCATAGTCTAAAAATGCTCTCTGGGTTTCACATGCTTGTTCAAAGCAAGAGGTATCTGTACTTTTTAGCAAGAGGTACCTACCTATCTGTACTTTTCCGAATTGTTTTATAGTGGTAAGGTCATGAATCCGCGTGCCTGACCTTCCAGTATACCTATGATACACCGATCCGTCGTCATGGTGCAGCGGCCCGACCGGTGGGCACACCGTGAGACGGTAAATGGAACTGGTGATCTTGCCTTAAATTGAGCTCAAAGATTTCACGCAAGAATGAGATGGATGAAGCATAAGTAATGCCAACTGTGCGGCGCCTCGTGGACGTAAAAAATTAGCCGATCACCCCCCCCCCCCTCCCGGTGACGGATAAATGTTATGTCCCGCGAGTGTGACTTTGGCCCCCCCCTTTTGCTAGCGGCTGCGACCGCCAGTGTCCATGCGTGGAAGCAATATCAAAATTTTGATAAACGCTAATTGAATTAAAAACTTTATTGCATAACTTGCAGGTGTCAAGGGTTTCTACATATGATAATTATCCAGAAAACTGATTGGTTTTGGTAAGCTACACAACGGAATAAACAGCAATACCAGGCAAGCGGCCCTTGCAAATAAAGGTAAACAAGCACGAATCGATTATTATCGAGGCCACCATTAACGACGCCAAAACGACAGCGCATCTGCGTAACATCTGCTGCCCTTCTCACTGGCACTCACAAGTCGGAGCGAGAATCGACCCCTTCAGCGAACCGGGAGCACAGCCACACCACTCGACTGGCGGGCTCATAGGCGAGCCGGGACGACCACCGCACCACCGACTGGCGGTTTAACATCATCATGAGCATCCCATTTATCAAGAAGAAAAAAAAATACGCGAATCAACATAAGTTGGAACTGGTGCAAAAGCACTTCATAGGCGAGCCGCGCAATCGGTATTAACGTAACGGTAAGCACATAGAGCTCTTAAACGCATAGGATGCCAATGCTAGATATAGTGACGTTTCATCGACAGACGTCAAAATGATAATCTGATTGTGTCGCAAGTGAATAACATTCGATCGGAAATATATTGAAGCCATGTGAGAGTAGAGAGGTAGGGTGTAGAGATCAATAGGGTGACGATGTAGGTATTGGCTATTTTTGCCATGACATTTTGGTTTCATACCATAGGTGTTCTCTCGGCGAAATTTCTGCAATAGCATAGGACAGTGGCCTTCAATTTCTCATATGTACGGGTAACACCACCGCCGTTATCGAAATGGTTACAGCGGACCAAAAGAGGAGCAGCGACAATGCCGCCTCACCGTCAATTTCGTGCCGGGGGACCACGACTGCCGAGCCAGGAGTCTCCAGCAGAGCGGGGAGCTCCTCCATTGAGATTAGTAGTCACATCTCTAGCGATGGAGGCTCGTTGGCCAACCGTCTCCAACAGGCAATGACTGGTAAACAAACCTAAAAGAAATCTTCGATAAAACGTCACAATATCCAGCTGTTGACATCATCCGGGCATCTCTACGCATTTAGGATCTCGGAAACGACGAAGAATTAGGTACTTGTTTGCAAATCTTCACAGACTGAGGGATCGTGGTTGCCTTGGGAGGCTCAGCGCTGATAAGAGCAGCAGGAGTTGAACTTCACACAGTTGGTTGGACACTGGCACCACCGGCGATTCACCGTCAGGGCCAACGGCCACGGAGACTGGCGGCGACCGTAACACGTGACGCGAATGGCAGTTGGCTGTGCACCGGAGCGCATTGGTACTAACCACCAAAGGTGGAGCCCGCCGCGGGAGGGGGAAACCGCCTACAACTTTCCCTAATTAGTGACTTATTAGGCACAACAGCACCTACCTATAGCTAAGGCTTAAAGTACTGTGATTAACAGCAAATCATCCAAAGCAATCATGGTACTACCTACTAGTAACCGCCTCTTGAACACGCGCATTCAGCATAAGAATAAATAAACGAACTAGCGTTTTACACATAGCCCTGCCAGTATGCTGACTTAGTCACTATATATTAATGAAAGATAGTTTGTGAACTTATCGGATAAGCACATATTGCGTAACTGCTTGGCCAACATCAATAATCATAACTGTAGCCTAATGGAACGGTCGATTCCTAGGAGGAACAGCCGTTCGAAGGTCTCATGATACACGAAACATTCCGCTCCCTGCAACCATCCAGCAACAACTCTGAGCGCCGAACACCCGCCCCCATGCACCGAACGACGCGAAAGCGTAAGCGTACTAAGCCATCTACTCTAGCCGAACTACTGGCGATATCGCGTAAGGCGCAGGGCGCTTCGTCTACTACCACTACCGCTAAGGCTTCTAGCAATACGCTATAGTTATCCGTGCCTCCGCCCCGTGTAACAATAACTCGGTCCGGCGGCGGACGGCACGAACTCGCCTGCGTCGGCTCCCCGGGCGCTCCCGCCGGCCGCCGGCCTAGGCGGCGCTGTCGGCCGGCCCGCCCAGCCACTCGGCCATGGTGTCGGTGTTGGACGGCTGTCCGGCCGCAGAGGCCAGCAGGCGCAGCAGGCCGTCGGCCGACTGGGCCGGCGGCGGCCCGTCCTCGCCGCAGCGCAGGCTCGGCTGCTCGCACGTCAGCAGGGTGCGCAGCACGCGCAGAAAGTCGCCGATACCGCCCGACGACGCCATGCGCGGGAACATGGCCTGCAGGAAGCTCTGCAGCAGGCCCAGCTTGTTCATGCACAGCGTGACGCAGCACGGCTCCGCGGCCGAGCGTCCCAGCAGCAGGCTGTCGTGCAGGCAGGGGCCAGTCGTGCTGCCGCCGCTGTCGCCGCCAGCGCAGGCCGTCGTGCCGCCAACGCTGCCGCTGCCGCCGCCAGCGCAGACCGTCGTGCTGCCACTGCCGCCGCTGCCGCCGCCAGCGCAAACCGTCGTACCGCCACCGCCGCTGCCGCCGGCGCCGCAGGCTGACCGCGGGCCCGGCAGCGGGCTATCGTGCGAGCCGCCGCCGGTCGTCGCGCCCCTGGTCGCTGTACCGCCGCCACCGCTGCCTCCGCCTCCGCCGCCGCAGGCCGGCCCCTCGCCTGGCGGACAACACTCTGGCTGGTTGGGGCCGCAGCAGGCCTGGGCCGGGCGGGCGGCGGCCGCCGGCCGGGCTGTCTCGCACGTCTGCACCGCCGTGCTGGTCCGGCGGTTGGCGATGGCCGTCAGAAGGGCGGTGGCGGACAGGTCGGACGGGCTGAGGCCCTGCGAGCCGGCGGCCGGCGGCGGCGGGCCGCGCGGTCCGGCCGCCGTGCCCGGCGCCGTCACCGTCACTGACGCCGGCGGCTCGTCCTCGTCCTGTACGCCCGGCTCGGCCACCGTCACCGTCAGGTCCTCCCCGATCGGCACGATCAGCGGCGTACCCCAGTCGACAGAGGACACCCCCGGGACCGCGGACACCCCCGGGACAGCGGACACTGCTGGGCCGGCGGACACGTCCTCCTGTACCGCGGACACCTCAGGGGTCGCCGAAGCGGACGGCGCAGCCGACTCTGTGCTGGGGCCGGCGGAGACACCCTGGACAGAACAAACATATGTCATTGTCGGTCACTGGGCACACGCCGGCAAACCAGTTACATGCGGAAAAGAAAACACGTCCATCGTTTTAGCGATTTGTTCGCGAGCAAACAGTGTTTTATAACTGTATTGCCAAAAAAGTACACGTTTTTACCTGCATTCTTATGCGATGGTGAAGAAATGTTATTTAAAAAGCAAATGGTCAAAGTCATCACACTATCAAAATATTCGCCACACCATATTTCACAGTTCCGCTACTGCGCCCTCACAAGATGAAAATGCGGACCTAATCACCCTACCATATCCGCACAACACCTGTCCGCACAAGGGATACACAGTGCCGTCAGTGCTCCTACCTTGTGGTGGCGCAGCACGTGCATTCGCTGCGCGGACCGGGTGAGGAAGCGGCGCCCGCAGTCCGGCTGCCGACACACGAACGGACGCTGCTTGGCGTGGGTGCGCTCGTGACTGCGCAGGTGGTGGGCCAGCGCGAACGAGCGCGAGCAGCCCGGCACAGAGCAGCTGGCGAGGGAGAGGAGAGTGGTCAGACGGTCAGCTGGGGAGGGAAGGAGTGGTCAGACGGTCAGCTGGGGAACGAGAGGAGAGTGGTCAGACGGTCATCTGGGGAGGGACAGAGCAGACAACAGTCACTGAACCGGGCATCCGCAGCGGCCAAAGAAGGTAAATTACTGGGCAGCCGAGAGCCAAGGCCATTTTCTATGCTAGCGGAATACGGGAAAGCACTCCCTTCACATTAAAAACACAATTAATTTAGACAGAACGGCGGGTTCTTTAAAGATTAACCCGCGCCCCGTAGGGCTACCGGCGGACCCTACCACCCGTAGGGGGGGGGGGGGGGCGTTTCGGCCCCCCCCCCCTAAGATCTCGGAAAGTTACCGGCCGATTTTCAAAATTCAAACGGCGTTCGATAGCCCCACCCGGGAACTACCTTGTGACCAAATTTCATTGACCTAGGTCAAACCGATGACGTCACAGGTCAGGTCAAAGGTCAGATTTTCACCGTTCACAGCCATTTCAAGAAATGTGTTGTGAAATCGAGTTAATTGGTAATTTATTGAAAACCATCGATGGTACATTGTTCGTCAAACACATACTTTGCTATCTGAGGTCACTGATACCAGGTCAGGTCACAGCGAGGTCAGGTCACCGGGGTCACAATATGAAAGTGTCGTGTGATACATGTTTAACGGTCCATTTTACATGACAAATGCGATTATGTGTGTTAGGCAGCCTTTGGGGCCAGCCTAGGTCACGTTTTGGTGAAGGTTAGGTCAAGGTCAGGTCAAATAAGGTCAAATTTCAAAGTTGATATTTTTGCATAAAATGGGTATCGATTCGATGCAGCTCGTCACGGGGAGTCTAATGGTGGTCTTTGTTTTGCTCTACGAGGTCTAGAACTGCCAAAAATTGAGTTTGAAAATTTGACGTCATCAATTTTGAACAGCTTTTTCGCTATAACTTGGCCAAAAAACGAGGTATCGATCTGAAATTCGGTATGTAGATAGAAGACGGTAGGTACTATCACATATATTCCGGTTTTTTTGAAAATCAAAAAACTTTTTGGATTTTTTGGCTAATATATAAAAAAAAATGTTTTTTTGATTTTTGGGGTTCAAAACTCAAAAATTTCAAAAATCCGAGATAGCAGTTTTGTAGCCCTGTCAATTTTACACCTTTTATGTCTTGATCATTTTTCTGTATCTTCAAAGCTGTAGGCCTGACAGGTCTTCTCGCGAAGGTCTTTTTTCGGTCGAAAATGACAGAACATGACGTCATTCTGACGTCATTTGTGGCCAACCTATCATAGCCTCTGGAAAATTTCTTGGTCACAATGTGTAAAATTGATGCCCGGAGGGGTCCTTAAAGTTTGGTGGCGATATCTGAAGCGGTTTAGGAGATATCGACCGAAAAGGACAGGGGGGGGGGGCCGTTTCGGCCCCCCCCCCTACGGGGCGCGGGTTAACAGACATGAAATGGTGATGGAGCTCTGAACGTACCTGAACGGTTTTTCGCCCGTGTGAATGCGCTTGTGCTTCTTGAGATCGGAAAGTGTGGTGAAGAACTTCAGGCAGTCCTGCTCCGAGCAGTTAAACGTAGTGCCCTCGTGAATACGCTTATGAGAGTTCAGTCTGAAACGAGGCAACAGCAGCAAATTACACTCATGCAGTCCATCGAAGTAAACATGGAAGAGACTTATCAAACAACCGCAGTCTTCTATAATGAAACCAACGATAAAACAAAATAAAGAATCTATCAAATAAAGGATGAAGATTGAAGAAGCCCGGTCATATCACGACAGCATTCTTCCAAAACATAATAAATTAAATGAATACATGGCATCCACCAATAAATACAAAATACCGTTTATAACACATCAGAAATTAGTCAAATAAACCAAACAATTGGCACACACAGGTGTTCGTTTGCCGGTCTCCCGCTGCCCGGCTGGACCATTGGCAGTGGACGGTGGTGCTCAGTTGGGACGGGGTGACACGTGTACTGGCCTCAGTGTGGGACAGGCGGCGTCTGACCACCTGCCCGCCGGCACTCCCGCCGCCGCGCTGGACCGCCGCCGCCGGCTCCAACCACCCGCCGCCGGCTCATAGCGAGAGGAGCGATCGTACGAGCGCAACCATCGACCGGGCCATACACATGACCATGTGCTAGCTACCATCATCCATTTTCATGACTGCAAAAGGTTTACCCGTCACTCATTTTATCGACCAGCAAACAAATTGTTCACAAAACGGGTTCAAAGGTCTGAAGCGTCAACAATCACAAAAAAACGCCCATGACATGGTCCGCTGCAGCGACAGATCCCGCGCCCACCCGCGCCGTTGCAGCGTTACCTGTAGAGCGTCCTGAACGTTTTCTCGCAGCCGGAGATGTCGCACCCGTAGGGGCGCTGCTTCGAGTGGACGCGCAGGTGCACCTTGAGCCGGTAGGACGTCATGAACATCTTGCCACAGCTCGGGTCGGTGCACACAAAGTTATACTCGCCTGCAACGGTGCGCGTCAGAATCAAACACGCAGAAAATACCAGTATCAACAGAAGGTTAAATAAAAACCTCTTTGGAAAAGATAACGAAAATGTTGTAAATATTTTTTAAGGGTATCAGTACCGACTCTAAAAATTCTCGAAAGTGGTTAAATCTGATAAAAACGTAACGTGCGAATAACGATAAGGATGGGTACTAGGTAGCGTCATGTACAGTACGACAAAATATATTGCACAATATGGACATACAGTGACAAAACTGAAAGCATGCTTGGTTTCGGTTCTCATTACTAAACGTCTAAACGTTGTTATGTAATAGTCCTGGTCACACTGCACGTGTTTTATGACCACTTATCGCGAGATGTCCTCTTTTCAAAGATATGTGCGATAACGATAGGCGAGCGATAAAGCGATACATAAGCGTCAAAACAGAGTAAAAAAGTGGTCGGGTCCAGGCGAGATAAGCCGCGTCAAGCGGTAAAAACTGACTTTATGAGCTTGATAATGTCCTTGCCAATATGAATCAAACAGGGAAAGTGATCAGACACCTGACCAGATGTCTAAACCCTATAATTTTATTAGCAGTGCACACCCCAGTAAACTACTGACAGCCATAGGAAGATGTTTGTGCCGAGCTGGTGGCGCCTGGGTGCAGCAAATCCGCCGCCGCCCTAACGGTGACCCCTAACGGTGACCTTGACCTCCGCCGTCTGTTGCGGCTCCCAAGTCAAGCCAGAGTGGAATTGGGAGAGCTCGGGCACCCCCAGCTCGGCGCAAACCTTCACCTATGCTGACAGATTCCCGACAGCACATAAAACAACATGGCACAGCACAGCACACAACTGACAGCACAGAACAGCACATCCCAGCTGACAGTCTGACCTGTGCGCCCTCCGGCCGGCAGTCTGACCTGTGTGCTTCTTCAGGTGGGTGGTGAGGTTGCTGCGTGTGCTGTAGGAGCGCGTGCAGCCCTCGTAGGTGCAGTGCAGCCGCTTCACCTCTGTCAGGTTGGTGTTGGGGTCGCGCGAGGTGAGCGTCATGGTGGCGTGGCTGGGGTCGGACGGCATCGCCTGCAGGCCCGGGTGCACCTTGATGTGCACCTTGTCCGCCTGCACCGTGTGGTGGACGTACCTGACGGCGGCGCGCACAGTCGACGACGTCAAACACACACACACACACACACACACACACACACACACACACACACACACACACACACACAAATGTACTGTCAAATTATGTTGTTACTACTCAAGTCAATGAGACCCAGGTTGTAAAAGACAAAACGTCAAATACTCAGAACTTTTACATCGCAGTAGGCAAAGTCGAAAAAAAAAATGAGAGGTTCATTTTGGGAAACTATTCTAATGATATCACTTTCACTCGCTACTTTTTGTGAAAGAAAGCACAGTCCCGCAGCTCAGTCAGTAGAGCGTTGGACTGCGCGTGGTGAGAGCACGCGTTCCCGGTTATAATAGACCGCGTTCGAAGCGCGACGGGCGCCTGGCGTTTATGGGCCTCCTGACAGGTATGGTTGCGGTTGGTGGCAGGCCGTAGTCAGGTGAAGTCAGTGAGGGGACCGGCCGTGCGCGGCTATGTGCGCACGCTAAACTTTGGGCTCCAATTTCTGCCATAGAATTGGAATTGCACAATCGGAGGGTAGAGGGCAGGGTCAACGCAGCAAGCTTCGCTTAGCGGGGACTCTCTCCTTATGAATTCTTCCATTCAGAAGGTTCGGACTAAAAAAAAAATCTAAATCAGAAAAAGCATTAATGGAATTTCGATGAGCCATGTTTTACATCTTACCCCATGTTCTCCTGTGATCCGGATGAGCTACCTTCCTCGTACTTTGCTTCTTGCTGAGAAATATCTTCATTTTCCAAAATAAGAAAAGTTTGCATATCTTTGTCACTCATCTTTATCAAATGGCGTTAGAATCTGTGAAATAAAATCGGTTATGATCAGTTGCTTCTTAGCACTCCCTGGTAGTGAGTCAGAAATAAATTAAATCTGTGACAGATAACAGCTACTGTAATCCCTGACCATCCCCAGGGAGGTCGGACTCTTCTCCATGCTTCCACTCTCTGATCCGGGATGACCGGTCACCTTTATCCAACGTAACCTGGGAACTTGGGAACAGGCTCCGCGTAGGCGGCGCATTTAAGTGGCAGCCTTTTTCATATCGACCTCCCTTGGCAGGGGCGTATGTAGAAAACCAACCCCCTCCCCCTGGTGGCAACACCTATGCATGTATGGGCAGAGGTTGTTTATTCATGAATAATTCATGTAGAAAATGTCAGATCACAACCAGAGGCGGATCCAGCTCAGAGGTTTGGGGGGGCAAACCATAAAAATTTATCGATTCTTTCCATGCATCGTCCATAGGCGTAATGTTAAAATCATGCCGTTTGGGGGGGGGGGGGGCAAATGCCCATTTTGCCCCCCCCCCTGGATCCGCCACTGATCACAACAGACTGTATTGTATTGTATTGTATTGTATTGTACAATCATGAGCGATCCACATTCTGAAAGTGTGTGGCGATTATTGCTCAGAATCCTTATCCGCGATTACTAAACCTGACTTGTTTTGTGATAGAATATGCAAAACATTTCAATAATTAAATTGTGTGCCCTTTCACACGCCTTTGCTTTTTCTTTCTTTATCTGGGTCTTTCTCATCTTTACCATTATCAGGGGCGGATCCAAGGGGGGGGGGGTCACATGGGTCATGGCCCCCCCCCCCTTGAGGCCCGGGGGCCCAAAGACCTGCCAGGGGCACCACCGGCCTATCAGGGGTATCACAGTCCTGACAGTGGCACCACAGGACCGCCAGGGGCACCACAGGCCTAGCAGGGACACCACGGGCCTGGTGCCCCTGGGCCCTGACAGGACTGTAACGCCCCTGACAAGCCTGAAGTGTCCCCGGTAGGCACGTGGTGCCCCTGACAGGCCTGAGGCGCCCCTGCAAGGGCGGTGGTGCCCCTGGCAGGCCTGTGGTGTCCATGGCAGGCCTGTGGTGCCCTTGCTAGGCCTCTGGTGCCCCTGACAGGCTTGTAATGCCCCTGGAAGGACTGTGGTGCCCTGGGCCCTGACAAGCCTGAGGTGCCCCTGACAGGCCAGTGGTGCTCTTGCTAGGCCTGTGGTGCCCCTGGCAGGCCTCTGGTGCCCCTGACAGGCTTGCGGTGCCCTTGGAAGGACTGTGGTGTCCCTGGGCCCTGACAAGCCTGAGGTGCCCCTGACAGGCCCGTGGTGCCCTTGTTAGGCCTGTGGTGCCCCTGGCAGGCCTCTGGTGCCCTTGCTAGGCCGCTGGTGCCCCTGGCAGACCTCTGGTGCCCTTGCTAGGCCGCTGGTACCCCTGCGCCCGGAGAGGACTGGTGCCCCTGAAAAGTCTGAAGTGCCCCTCGGCAGGCCCGTGGTGCCCCTGACAGGCCCAAGGTGCCCCTGCGAGGCCGGTGGTGCCCCTGGCAGACCTCTGGTGCCCCTGGCAGGTCTGTGGCGCCCCTGGCAGACCTGTGTTGACTGGTGCCCCTGCTAGGTCGCTGGTGCCCCTCACAGACCTGTGGTGCCCCTGGGCCTTGATAAGCCTGAGATGCCTGGCTATGACAGGCTCGTGGTGCCCCTGATAGACCAGTGGTGCCCTTGCTAGGCCTGTAGTGCCCCTGGCAGGCCTCTGGTGCCCCTGCTACCCCTGCGCCCGGAGAGGACTATGGTGCCCCTGAAAAGCCTGAAGTGCCTCTCGACAGGCCCGTGGTGCCCCTGGCCCCTGACAGGCCCAAGTTACCCCTGCGAGGTCGGTGGTGCTCCTGGCAGACCTCTGGTGCCCCTTGCAGGTCTGTGGTGCCCCTGGCAGGCCTGTGTTGACTGGTGCCCCTGCTAGGCCGCTGGTGCCCCTCACAGGCCTGCGGTGCCCCTGGAAGGACTGTGGTGCCCCTGCCCCTAGGGGTGCTCATGGGCCCAACAGGTCCGTTGTGCCCCTGACAGGCCTGTCGTGTATACTTGCTAGACCTTTGGTGCCCCTACTTCCTGGCAGGCCTGTGGTGCCCCTGGCGGGCCTGTGGCGCCCCTACAAGGCCGTAGGTGCCCCTGAAAGGTTTGTGGTGTCCCTGGAAGGACTTTGGTGCCCCTGACAAGCCTGAAGTGTCAAGGACAGACCCTTTAGACGCCAGGGTCAAGTTCGTCGGACTGACAACGATTTGCTTACCTGATAACGTTCCTGGTAAGTACTCACTACTAGTACTCAGCGTCCACAACATATATACACATAGCATCTATGCACATAGCACATTCATATATACTTGCTTACAATTGGTAAATGTGGTTGTGGCTAAGAGTTAAGATACTGACTAAAAATAAAAAATAAAAATAAAAAACTGAAAATGGGGGCACCACCAAAATGAAGTGGACGAAATCCGTTGAGTTTTTAATTTTGGGTATAGGTAGGGGCACCACTTCGATTCATGACCCTCCCCTTGGAGTTTTCCTGGATCCGCCCCTGACCATTATTATTGCTGGAGACGCTAGCAAATTTATACTTCATGCCAATGACAAAAAAACATGCTGTGACATCAACATTATCATTTTAACTGGAACCAAAGTGTCTGCTATAATGCTTCATCGCTTTATTCAACCATTGGCATAGAAAATACAGTTCACAGCAGCAAAATGCTCATCTTGGGCCCGAAACTGGTCTGTGATCAGTCACCCCTGGTATCATTGTCGTCCCCCCCCCTGTCACCCCGTTTTACGGTACGCTCCCATGTCCCTAAGGCACCCACACTCACACAAAGCAAAATATTTCAACCGACCAAGGCCGTGTATAACAACCGACTGATGCAAGTTACAAATAAAATAAAATCAAATCAAAATAAAATAGTTTGTTTCCTATTCGATTTTTCCTCTGCGCCATGATGACCATATGTGCGCCTTTTTCATCTTTATTGTATGGAGCCTATTTCACCAAGATTACTTTACTACTTCACTGCAGAACGATGAAATATGCTTAGGCAATTTTTTGTTAAAGTTTTCATCTTTAAAGTCAAAATATTTTCAAAATAGAAAAAAAGAATATTTCTCTCCAACAATTCGGTACAAACAAACAATTCGACATGAAACTTTTCATCGATAGCGACAAAACAATATTGCATTAGAATAAAAAAACAAAAAATGAGGTGTATTTATGAGATGAAAAGTGAAGATTAAGTGTGAAAATGTTTTAAAAAATAGAAGTGATAAAAACTTCCTGACAGTTTAAAAATGATATTTTAAATTCCTTTCTTATTGCTTGTGAGTTTGGTTTTCTGGCAACGCAGCATGTCCTTTCTGTAAGCGCCGCAATCATGGTGGGTCGACAATCGTCGTTTTCTACATTTACTTGTTGTTCTCGCAAGCAAAACTGGTTGTTAGTCACGATTACTTTTAAGATGAAGATCATTATTTCTTTTAATTCGTTCAAGTAGGCTTTGCTGGTGCCAGATGTCAAGTTTCTCCTGTAGGTAACTCAAACTCGTCTCATCACATCTCTGTTCGGATCCCTATTGCCGTGGAAGGGTACCTAAAGGTTATCCATTATTAATATGGTTAATGTCACACTATTTTTTGATGTGTTGTGCCATGCATTTGATGCTTGTGTGGGTAGTTTTTTAGAATTATCACTAGATTTGCAACATTAACCCCATTTGGGCTTGGTCTCTGTTATTGTGTTTCCTGGCATGTTGACTTTAGATGCTATGATGCTAGGGTATGAAGGAATATGCTCAGAATGTACGGATCTTGCGACTGCGAGATTGAGCGGTAGGTTTTGCACATTAACATTTTGGTTATATCTCAGAAACTAATTCAGTAGGCGGAACTATGGTCATGAGTACCCAAATATAGGAACGTTCCCATTTTTGGGAACGGAGTTCCCAAATATGGGAACGAGCGTTCCCATTTATGACTACGGAAGGCAATTTTTCGGCCGTTCGCGCACTAAAACTCATTAGTGCATCACGTCTCGAAAAAGTGCATGCTAATTAACGTCTCTACTAAATCTCCATAAAGTTATCTTTAATCTGACCGTGGAACAAGGAAATTGACCGTGGAATGATATTTTTAATGATTTTTTAAAAATGACAGAATGGTGGAAATATGGGTTATACAACATTTAGCATGCAATTTTAAGGAAAATGAAGCATTTTTTAGTTTGAGGTCAACTATAATAATTTTCGCCTGGTTATGAACTTTCATACTATCGACACCAGATCCTGACAAATGCAAGCGAAGACGCGTACGGTCCCGAGGTAATATTGTTGACTTTTGGCGTCGGGGCGGACAACCGCGTGGAACGCGAGTGAATTTACCGAACTACTGTTATAAACTCAGTTTAAGTGGTTTAAAATTATTCAGCTGTATTTTATCAACCCTGAAAGACATATTTTATTTGGATGCTAGCTGTTTAGCGTTGCTTTTAAGGAGCGTCATGAGCGTGGTTTTTGCCTTCGGTATTTTGGGGGTACGATCGTTTTGGGGGAATTTCTTTTATGCAGGTCGCCCTAAGTGCCTTATTTATAATTTTCATGCTAATTTTGATCATTTCTCGTGCCCATCCTACCAGGCCTTTTGCCACTTACACTCATTAAGAAAGGAAAAAAGTAGATTTATATTGGGACTAGGTGTTTTGAGAGTGAAACATTTCAGCGTTCCCATTTTTGGATACTTACTTGTGCTCGTCAACTATCGGTGATAAACAGACAGGTGCTTGACATGTCTCCACCCTCGGCGCGGACGGTGGATATAGGCATGGAAGACCTTGTTGAACATCGCTGAGCGTTGTGAATTACGTAATCCTGCAGAGGGGGGCGTGCCCGCTGCGAGATCGACGGGAATAAAAGCGCAGAAGACCGGGCGAAACATGCGACGGTCTTGCCGGAAAGGTCATCTGATGATTGTTGCGTTAACAAGAATTTGCGGCGTTGGACGTGATGCTTGTTAATGAAAAGAGCCCCTGAAAGGCGTCGGTGAAACCGTTCCCAATTTTGGGTACGCCGTTCCCATAATAAGGAACGCTTGCAGCGCCAGTGTACGAGAGCGTTCCCAAATTTGGGCTCGCGGCCCGGATGATGGACTGCTTTAGAAATAGGCGAACGATTTGAAACTACGATGGGCCTTACAATATCAAACTCTTTCCCAACAATATTGAGACAAATATCAGGCGGTTCACGATCGTTTTATATTTTTTGGACGTCATTTAACGGTTCTTTTTCTTGTTTTAAATAATGCCTACATGGCGTTCCCATATTTGGGTTTATCGTTCCCAAATATGGGAACGAAAATGCGTTCCCGAAAATGGGTACGCTTGACCATAGTTCCGCCTACTGAATTGTTCTATGATGAAGCCATTTTACATGATCATGGCCGGCTTGTGAACCAACAAGTCGATCGCATCTTCAACACTTAAAGCTGACGAAGATATAGACTGAAGTACACTAAATTTTTTAGGTGCAAAACTTACAGCTAAAACCCGCGAGACCTTTACCTCAATTGGGCTGGGAGTAGGTCATATTAATTTCTAAGCTTTGTGAATTGGTCCTAAAGCCATTGAGACCTGAACTAAGGAGGATATTGAGATGGTCAAAGCAATTGAATTGAAGGATTATTGTTGAAAAACGAAAATAATTGTGTGCTGATAGTAAAGGAGTTGACCTATGGTTGCAACAAGTTAGTAAAAGTAGAATGTTTAGACAGCAAACTGTAACAGAGGGTAACTAAATAAGGTAGGTAGCTTATGTTGTCCACTGGCCTTATGGTGTTCCATCCACCACCACTAGTCAGTAAGAAAAAGGCTTGATGGATATATGTTTAGATTAGCTATGGATTAGCTATTTTTGTTTAGTCAGGTTGATAGTGTCACTTAATTTGTAGTGGCATTACTGAAATTTCATTAAATTTGTTAGTATCATTGATATGTTAAGAGATTAAAGAAGAAAAGTTCAACACTACCTTTTAAACAAAATGTTACATTCAATGGATGGCTGGTCAGCTATGCTTTCTAGTCTACTTTAATTGTATAGTTACTTAGCTTATTTAATGCTAGTATTGAATCATATTTACATTTATTATCAGAGATTTAAAAGTAATTTCTTTTAAATCCCTGATACTTCTTTGTTAAATAAAACACAAGCTGCATTTATCATCAAGACTGAAATATCACTTATGAGCTTGAGTTATAGATTTTGCTGAGAAGGCATTGTAGGAACAATGTTAAGTGCAGAGGCTCTATACAAAGCACCAAACTCCATGCTTTAGGCCACGAAATTGGGCTGCTGTTGGAAGAGCCAGCGTGTAAGGTGTGTTGCATAACTGGAGACAGTGTTCTAAAATTGAATTCTGGTTGAATATGCCAATGAAGAAAAAATCCTAGGATAAAAAAGGAAATACCCATAGTATTTTTGCTGAAAGGGCATTCCTCCATTTTCAAAGCAAATTGATAAGAGCAGGATTTAATCCAAGAAACTTGACAGGATCTGAAAGCAAAGGATGTGGATTCAACCATCAAGTGAATAGCTGTTTTATAGCTGATCAGCTGATAGCTGATTAGCTGTCGAATAGCTGTTTGAATACATAATAAACTTTCCAAAGATTAAATGATGCCACTTTTTGTTATTTTGGGGATGAAAATATTTTCCTCATTTAGTGTGATTTTCCACCCTAAGTTCCCGTGCCATTCCTTTTCATTCCATTCCATTTCAAAATTCCATAGGTAGTAGGTACTTGTAGTCACATGCCAATTGTAAACTTTTCTTTTGTAAAATCCTTTCAGTTAAGACTGCTGAGCTTGAGTCATTGCCATCAATGTGGCTTAAGGCCAGTTTTATTTAGGAAAACCTGCAGCAGCAGTCATTTTTGCCTGAAGTCTCAGTTGGATTTTTTCTAGTCCTCTTATTTTCTCGTATAAGTAGTTCATATTCAGCTGTTTTTTCAGATTAGCAGGAATAGCAGCTCACAGCTGGTATTTTTGTTTTTCTTTTCTTTAGGTGTCCACTGGTCTTCCTACCATATTAACCATTTAATATTTTTCTTTACCATTTATTGTTTTTCTACCTTTCTTGCCTTTACTTTTTTAATTGGTTTTGACATATGTATCAAAGGCGAGATGCATTGCTATTATATGTCAGTACTAATGACAGTGGCTTTTTCCAGGCGAGAGGACCGAAGAAGCACTTGAAGCGTCTCAATGCCCCCAAGGCATGGATGCTGGGGAAGCTCGGGGGCCCGTTCGCCCCGCGCCCGAGCTGTGGCCCCCACAAGCTGCGGGAGTCGCTCCCGCTGCTCATTTTCCTGAGAAACCGTCTCAAGTACGCCCTGAACGGCACAGAGGTCAAGAAGATCCTGATGCAGCGATTTGTCAAGGTTGACGGCAAGGTCCGCACTGACGCGACCTTCCCCGCCGGATTCATGGGTGAGATTCATGTTTGCAAACTTGTACAGACACACTCATACACCTGTCTGTACACTTGTGCAACATTACTCAATCATCAGTTACTTTATCATTGGGTTCAATGCGCTAAAGTCGTTACTTTGATGATCGTCGCTGGTTTCCAACGACTTTGGTCTGGTCCATGATGTCGTTGCTCCCGCTGAGGGTGCAGTAGAGGTAGCAAGTAGTTGAAAGGGGTTGACTATGTCCAAAGTGGTTGTTTTGCCCGTTTTGTTGCTGGCCATGTTGAAAATGTGGTGTTGATGTTCTTTCTCATCATATTCTCCCATGGCAACATGAAATGACCTAAACCAAGTGTTTTGTTCTTTTGAGCATCTCACTCCTAACTGGTCAGACATTCTGAGGCCCGTGTCTGTCGTGTGGTGGTCGTGTATGGGGTTGTATCACCAGCCTCATCAGCCGGTGTCTCTGCCCCCAGACGTGATCACCATTGAGAAGACAGGCGAGAATTTCCGTCTCATCTACGACGTGAAGGGACGGTTCACCGTGCACCGCATCACCAAGGAGGAGGCCTCGGTGAGTGAGTGAACCGGCCGGCCGGACAGCGCGCCGTCGTGTTGAAAACGTGGGCACGATATACCACTTCTGTCCATGTTCTCCCGCGACTACAGAGAGGCGACCATAACCAAGTGGTGTGCTCCGCTGATCACGTCACTCCTAAACGGTCGGACACTGCTCAGCGGCTATGAACACTTTTTTCAACCGATTAGCGTTTTGTATCGGCAACAGTGGGCTTTGGGGACTGTCTGCCATCGTCTCATCTTCCCTGTATTCTGGGATTTCTCCATACCATCATACTACTAGGCTATTGCATGAAATAATTCGTGTCAGGCACCTTGAAACCTCGAGGCTGATTCACGACCCGCTCTGTAACGTGTCTCCGTCTGCCCTGCCGCAGTACAAGCTGTGCCGCGTCAAGGAGCTGCGCGTCGGCCCCAAGGGCATCCCGAACCTGCTGACCCACGACGGACGCACGATCCGCTACCCGGACCCGCAGATCAAGGTCAGCGACACCATCCAGCTCGACCTGGCCACCGCCAAGATCAAGGACTATCTCAAATTCGACACCGGTGAGTGCCGCAGGACGGCTGGGTCGGTCAGCGTCGATAGGGTGGGCTGTGAACGCGGGGGACACAAAGCCAGTTCGAAGACGCGTGGCCGTGCACTGCGGCCGCGTGTTCAAAAGCTCGGCGACAGTGATGGCTCGCCGACGGTCGCTGGCCCCTGTCTGCATCTGGGGTCAGCATTACCAATGACGAGTACAATTAGTTTTAGCTGTTATGCTACCTGCTAGGAGAGTTTGCTGGTCAACTACTAGTGTGTTTGTGTCTGTGTCTCAGTGTCTGAACTGCTAGGTAGACCACCAACCGGGGAGTGTCGCCCGATACCGTGTGTCAGTGTATGTGCGGCTAAACTGTCTGTGTGTGCATGTGGTGCTCGACTGCCATAATGTGTGCAGTGTGTTCTGGTATACTATCGCTGTGGGTATGACAGCAGTGCACAATGCACCTGTCCTTTACATATGTTACCATGAGTGCTGGGTTTGGTGGGTGGGGAGGAGAATGAGTCGAGAGGTGGGAGACTGCACCCGGCCATTTTGTGGCTCGGTCGGTGGCATTCACACGAAGCCATTGTTTATCAGGACTGTGCAACAGTTGGGGTACAAACGAGGCTAGTCCAGCCACAGACATTCGAACTGCGAGTCCGGACCGGCCAAATTCCAGTCACGTCCAGAAACCAGTCACAAGCCGTTCAGTCGTCATACTCAGCGTAACTTTTATCAGTTCGATTCTCAGTTGAGCAGACAGCTGTGGTTATCTTCAGATTGTGCATAGTTTTACGATCATGTCATTCTGCTTCTTTTTCCGGCCGAGACTCCGTTTTGCAAATGTGGACATGATTGTGGAAACTCATTTCTATCAAACCATGGGGTCGTCATAATGCGTATATCATGCCCAGGGATAAGTCTAGGCGGCATTCTCATTGTTATGTATCAATTTTTGCCCATTCCAGGGTATATCGCCTGAACAGATAATCTGTCATAAATTCGTCGCATTATTTGCCGGTGTTCGTAAACTGAAGCAAACAAGAGGGCTACATGTTCAAGGGCCTTGGGCTATATTATGGTTGTTATGCATAGCAGCTCCCAGCTCTAGCACAAACCACAGATGACAGTGGACTTGATCGACCCGCGGCAGAGGTCTACAGTTATCTATACACGACTTGATTAATACCGATGCCAGTTCGAAGACGCGTGTCTATATTTTCAGTGGACGCGTGTTCAAAAGCTTGGCTATAGCATCCTCTTTCCAACGGTCGCTGGCCTCTGTGCCCGTCTGAGGGCAGCATCACCAATGGACAGGACACGCGCAGACGATATTTTGTCCTCCCGAGGACCTTGGGCTGTAACGGTGATAGATTGTCGGCAGTGTGTTCCATCTCTTCGCTCTATTCACTACAAGTTTCCAAAGTCAAAGAATAGTGGGACGGAATTTTATAAAATGAAAGTATTTGCATAAGCGTCAATTGGTCGAACATGGTAAACGTCTGTTCTCCGGTTTTGGCCTTGTGCAAAAAGAGTTCACAATTTTCCCTGATATGCGGTGCATAAATTGGCCATTTGCCGGCACGTTTCGGCCAACGCATGGTGGGCAGCCAGGAATATTTATCGAATGAACAGACATTGCTCGCTGTACTTAATTTATTGTTTGTTTGTTTTTGTGCTGTTGGCCGTCGTTCTCGCACAGTGAATTAGATAAAACCGTGATATACACTTCATAGGCAACAGTGGACCTACAGGGCAAACAATATAGGGGTCTACCTTTTGTCTATGCTCAACTTGACAAGTGTCATTTGCCAGTTCGAAGACGCGTGTCTATATTTTCAGTGGACGCGTGTTCAAAAGCTTGGCTAGAGCATCCTCTTTCCAACGGTCGCTGGCCTCTGTGCTGATATGAGGGCAGCATCACCAATGGACAGGACACGTGCACTGTGCAGACGATTTGTCGGCAGTGTGCTACGTCACTTCGCTCTATTCCCTATAAGTATCGAAAGTCAGAGAATAGTTGACAGAATTTTATCAAATGAAAATGTTTTCAAAACCGTCAATTGGTTGAACTTGAGAAACGTTTGTTCTTCAGCATTGGCCTTGTGCAAAAAAAAAAACATAAAATTTCCCGGATATGCGTTGTATAATATGATCATGTGCCAGGACGTGTCGGCTAACACATGGTCGTAAGCCAGAATCATTTATCGACAATTTGTATGGACTTTGCTCGCTGTGCTTAATTTGTTGCTTATTGCGCTGCTAGCCATCGTTCTCCTACAGTGAATTATATTATAAAACTGCAATATACACTTCATAGGCAACAGTGGACCTACAGGGTATATACATCTATGCAGGGGTCTACTTGTTGTCTATGCAAAACCTGACAAATGTTATTTGCCAGTTCGAATACGCGTGTCCATACTTTCAGTGGACGCGTGTTCAAAAGCTTGGCTATAGCATCCTCTTTCCAACGGTCGCTGGCCTCTGTGCCCGTCTGAGGGCAGCATCACCAATGGACAGGACACGCGCAGACGACGCGCTGCCGATCTTGATGAATGTTTTGAATGTTTTGTGTTTTGTGGGTGTCTGTCTGCTAGTTATCTGTGGTTTCGTGTTAGCTTTGCGCCGTGGCTTTGACATTAGACATAAAACGTTGTCGGTGCCTGTTGTCACTGTTAGCTAGGACCAGTTGCATATTGCCTGTGAAATGTTCCTACGTAAACTAACGCTCCTCTCCGTAACTGTCGGCAGGTAACCTGTGCATGATCACCGGCGGCCGTAACTTGGGTCGTGTCGGCACCATCATCCACCGGGAGCGTCACCCGGGCTCGTTCGACATCGTGCACGTCAAGGACACGGCCGGACACAAGTTCGCCACCAGGTACGCCCCCCCCCCCCCCCCCTCCCTCCGCAACGCACACGGGCTAGTGACGCCAGACCGAAGACGCCCAACCACCAACTCTGTGGAGGCGCGTTCAAAATCTTGGCAACAGGAACGGCTCTCCAACGGTCGCTGGTTTTGTGATTCTCGTTCAAGAGCAGCATTACCAATGGAGTGTACAAATGGCATTTTTATTCAATTTCATGTATCTGTTAATGTCACTGTGAACAGTGGTGTATCGTTGCTCTCATGCTATTTCACGGTAGGCACAATGCCTTTCTGAGCGCATTTTGAACGTCAACTTTGTGCTCGAATTTCGATCTTTTATACTCATGATGTATTTTATCGCAGTTTTTTATTCAAAGCCATTTTTATTCTGTTTAGTGTTAACTTTTTCTGGTTAGTGTCCGTGTAGCGTCCTCGGCGCGTTTGTTGGCGGGTGGCAGCCACCTCTCACAGCACAGATGTCGCTAACTCCGCTCTGTGCTGTCGGCAGGCTGCACAACGTGTTCGTCATCGGCAAGGGCACGCGCGCCTACGTGTCGCTGCCCAAGGGCAAGGGTGTCAAGCTGTCGATCGCCGAGGAGCGCGACCGGCGGCTGGCGCAGAAGAGCTAGACGGCCATCACGCAGGGCGGCAGAGCGCTATTTCACATCGCCCAATACACGACCAGACAGAGCGTGAGACGTGTGTTAGTGGAGGTGGGGCTCAGTGGCTAGGGTGGGTCTGCTGTGGGGGCGTGGCAGTGCTGTCGAGGACCGGGACTCCGGGTCTGGGTGACCGGAGAAGTGGAGACTCGACGATCGCTCGGTTGGGTACACGTGGAACATGCTCCTAGACACAGCGGTGGGAGGGATTTGACGTGAGACGAAGAAGGAGAGTTGAAAGTAAATCAGGGTGGGTAGAGTCACAGTTGAGAAGCCAAGATCATTTTGCAAAGGCACTACCTCTTTACGATATGTATATTTGTACAGTATTTGTTCACGCATTTTGGTAGGAACACTAGCATTGGTACACACGCATTTGTACGAACAATTTGGCATTTCTGAGATCACCTGAGGGCTGTATCGACTCGACACGACCGTCCGTTCCGAGCGCGGTAGCCCGGCGGCGCTATGTGGCCGGCGGGTGGGCGGTGGCCGTCTCGGCGGCCCCGGCCGGCGTCTGCCCGTGCCGCGACCTCATGTGTCGCTCCAGGTCCCGGCGCCGCACCAGCACCTTTCCACAGATCTCGCACCTGGCGGCATAGGGACGGTGTGAGAGCGGCCTCCGCGGCAGGGGGCGCCCGGGTCGCCAGTTCCACTAACTTCAGCCCGGGGTCAGGCTACTGTGAAAATTGCGTGTTCGATTTAGGGCTTTTGAGGCTGTCAGTACTTTGCCTCTGGTAATCATTGGCGGGTGATTTTGCAGTCCAATTGCAAGGCAGAGTGGGCTGTGATGGAATAGTTCTAAAATAATTCGGCATTTGACACAGTACCCCCGCTGGGCCGCAGTCACGTATCGTATGTTCCTCACCTGTAGGGCGTCTCGCCGTCGGCGTGCAGGCGCACGTGCTTGTTGAGGTTGCTCGGGTCGCCGAACGGGCGCGCGCAGATGCGACAGCAGAGCGGCTTGTAGCCCGTGTGCGTGCGGATGTGAATCTTGAGGCCGTACTTTCGTGAGTACAGTTTGCCGCAGTAGAGGCACACGTGGCCCTTGCTCGACCGGCCCATGCTGGAGACGAGCGACTCGACCTGGGCGCAGACGTGGCCCGGGCTGGGCTGGGGCGGCTGAGGGGGGCCGGGCGGCCAGGCCAGCCGGCCGCCCCGGCAGCCCACGGCCAGGTGCAGCTTCAGCGGGTTAGGCTGCTGGAACAGCTGGCCGCAGAGATGGCACCCGTACCGGCCTCCGCCTGTGAAGGGGAACAGGGATCAGGGGATGTCACTCAGCGGACCTTTGAGTGGTCAGGGGGCTGCCCCCGCCTAGCCTTTGGGGGTGGAAGACGCTGGGAAGTTCCTAGATGACATGTGGGTGGGCATAGGGCGTGCCCCCGCCTGTGAAGGTGGGACAGAGGAGGTCAGTGACCCCGGGTCACTCGGGGGACCTGTACAGTGGGTACAGGGCCTGCCACCTGGTGGGGCGGAGGGAAACGCAGACAGGCGGAGGCCGAGCACGCTTCCTGCTGACGGGACGCAACAGACAGGACCCCCAGTGTATGTGTCATGGATGGAACATTGCTGAGTAGGGCATTCAGTCGAGGGAATATATTCTGCTTTATACGGTGTACTGTAGGGTTCATTAACATTTCACTTCATTTACACTGTTCAAATAGATATTATCCGCGTCTTGCATGCCACCTGCAACATGATGTATAATACACAACAGAACACACACTGCTAGGCCACTGGCTGCAGAGGCGCGAGCTGTGTTATCGGGCCATTGGCTGCCGCGGGGAGGGGCCGGCGCTGAAGGGTCACGCCAGGCGGTAAATTGATCACCTGTCCCTCGTCAGCAAGTAACGGCGGACGAACCGATCGACCGACCGGCGCCGGCTGTCCCAGGACGGGATTAGTAACCACTCCCAGACGGGATGGAATAGGCGGACTTATTACACCGTGTTTACGTCAATACCATCACATTTGGTGTTTATCACGCCACGGTGACTATAAATAGTGTTTATGATAAAGCAGTGTTGACCGCTAATCCTGTTTTTACATGGTTTGGGTTAGAAACAGGTCCGTGCTCGCTTCGGAGACGGACAGGATATCCCCTTATGATTATGGCCCCGTGTGGAATGACACACATAAAAATAACACCGGTGCTGACTGGTGGCAGCAACATTAACGGAAACCGCTCACCATGGTTGTGATGACGTAATGTGTAAACATGCCATGCTCAGTGCTCGCGAACTCTGAGCCAGAGCGGCGGCGGCGGCGGGGACTCACCCTGTATGTTGCGCAGGCCGAGAAAAGGCACGTCAGCCAGCTGGCTGAGCTCGGCGTCAAACCAGACGGCCAGCTGGTCGCCGGGCCGGACCGGCCGCGCCGTGACCAGCTCGTAGAGCGGCGGCCGCTGCTCGCCGGGACCGCCGTCCGACGGCCGCCGCCATCGGCGCACGGTCACGTTGTGCGTGTGGCAGTTAGTGGCCAGCCGCAGACAGGAGAGCCACGAGACGGCGCCGCTCAGGTCGTCCGCGGCGACCTGGCGGGGCGGGTCGGGAGGTCAGGGTCGAGGTCAGACCGGTCCCATTTATAGAACACATGCAGTGGTATGTGTCACCGTCATATGATGATGCATGTTTGTCATGGGATGCGGTCGTGCGAGTCGAGGTCGTGCGGTACGAGCGGTGCCACAAGCGGCGCAGTTCCGTTCGCTGTTGTTTGGGTCGAGCCTATTTATATATACATGTAGTTGGTATGTACCGTTCCCGTCCAGCGTCCCCACAAAAGCGTCTGACCGCGAAAACACTGCACTATACGAATGACGGTATCAGGGCTCCGTAGTGACACAGCACGGCGGATGTCAGGGGGAGACGCGAAGAAGGCGCGTTGGCGGTCAGACGGACACAGCGAATGAAAGCAGTACGACCTCACTAATGATACGTTGTGGGCTTCCTGGCTTCGACCTAACCTTGACTAACTCGGTCAACACTGCTTGACCTTTTCGACACTATTTGACGCGCTCGGACGGGGCAAAAGTGATGGTACGAAAGTCATTGCTCTGCGACCATTTTCGCTGAGAGCAATTATCAAAATAAGGACATTTTAGGCTCTGAGGTCACCGGTTGACCTGAAACCTTAAAAATTGACCTTCGCTCTTTCACATGACGGCACACGGTTAACAAGCTGGTTTTCTGCCAAGTTGTAGCATAATTGAAATGCCGTCAAAAGCACTCGAGTATGTAATGCCCCTTATGCTCGGAACGGAACGGACTGCCCGCCAACGCCATGCGTCAGGCAGTGCAGGCGATGAGTAATGTAATTGGTGTAACTCGGGCCCCAGGCTATGGTGAGGCACGAAATGCATAGAGCGGTGCAATACAGCGTGCTGATGAAGCTTTTTCCCTAGAACTGAGAAATTCCCGTTCCTTTTCCTGCTACATGAATCGTCGTCTGCGACTCACCGATCCCCGCAGGGGTCGCGGGGGGTCGCCGCCACCGGAAGTCCCGCCCGACACTCACCATTTTATCCGCGCTGCGCTCGTCGGTGACGAAGTTGTGTGCGTCACACCTGAGGGTGATGACGTCATCGGCACTGAGCGGCGGCGACGTGACGCCCTCGCCGATGGCGGTGGCGGCCACCACTCCGGCGGCGGCCGGCGGCGACCACTGTGCGGCCGGCGGCGACCACTGTGCGGCGGCCGACGGTCCGGAGAGCGGCCCGGCCGCCAGAGACGGCACCGGCAGGCCGAACAGGGCGGCGGCGGCGGGCAGCATCACCGTCCTGCGGCCGGCCGTCATCCCGTGCTGTCTGTCCCCAGTCGGCACCGCCCGCGGGCTGACTGAGCGCCGCCCGCCGGCCCGGCACTGATTTATACACAGCGCGCGACCAGAGGGGCGCCGGTTGACATTACACTTGTTTGAGAACGGTCCAGCTGACGGCCCCCGCACACAATACGAGAGCAATCAGACGGCAGGGGGGGGAGGGGCGGCGCCGAGAGCGGCCGTTTACCGTGACCAAACGGATCCACTTGTACGCAGCCGTCGGCCGGGGTGGGCCGTCCTCGGCGCCACCGGCGCACCGTGCTCGGACGGTTGGTCTGCGAGGAGCGGCCACACCGGGCGCCAGCCGGTCAGAACAGGGGCGCCACAAACCAGTCCGTCGGTCCGCGGGCAGTTCAATTGTGCTCTGGTGGAGGTTGGGACTAGGCAGACCGTCACCGGGCATCCCTGGACAGACCTGACTGATGGCTGGTTAGGAATATAGTGACTTGATACACAAAAGCATGCTTCGATCTTGACACTCGCATAAATAATGCGTTTCAACTGGTTTGGTGGAATGGTGAACGAGAACGAGTACCTACCTAGCGTATCAGACGAGTAGACGGTGACGCTATAAGTAAAATTGGCGACGAACACATTCCATTAGTTAATGGGCTCGTTAGGAGGTCGTTAGTCGAAAGACGGCCCTATGAAAACCGTTTTATGACAGCACAGGCGGTTGAGCTATCGCTCAACTGTTTGATATTCATTAACATGATTGTGGCCTGTTACATGCCAATGGTCGTCGCTGGGCGCTGCAATTCGCTGTATGTTGTGTTATGCCTGTCCCCTAGCCCTAGAACGCCTGGGGGGGGGGGGTTGTATCAACCCCCCCCCCTGAGGTTTTTTCGAAGTGCACGCTAAACGGCTTGTCGTAGCGGGCTGAAATTTTCAATGCCCTCTGGGGCAACCTTTGCGCATCTTTTGCCGAAAAAAATTGATCGGGTCATGTCAGGTCACGGAGTTATGACGTCATAAGAGGTACAGCCTCCGGCCGACAGTTACCAAACGTGTGCGCCGAATCCCTAGGTTTTCTGCCGGTGATACCCACATTGTTTGATGGATCATGATGAAACTTCCCATGCATGTTGGGGCAAGCATTGGCTATCGTGTGGTGCAAGAAAATTGACCGGGTCAGGTCAGGTCACGGAGCTATGACGTCACAAGAGGAACAGCGTCCGGTACTATTTTTGAAAAGCGCCCGAGCCACTATTTTGCTAATTCTTGTCACCTCAATGGGAATATGCAGCAATATTAGCTTCTATAGGGAGCAAATGGACCTCCCAAATCCAAAAATACAATCAGATTTCAAAAATTTAAATTTTGATTTTTCGAATTTCTGCCGCCGACTGTGACCTTGCCGACTTCCGGCGCTCCCAACGCGCCATTTTTAGAGCTAGGGAAACGAAATACATACCAAACGATAGAAAATTGATCAAGGAACACGATAGTGAAGGTTTCAAGTCGATATCTCCCACCGTTTTGCCGCAATCGCCGCGGAAAGTTGAAAAAGTTTGATTTTTTCGGAAAATTTGACCTTTGACCGGTCATAAGTAGGTCAAATGTTGACCTAGGACCAAAAAATATACCACCAATCGCGAGATCTCGTTGAGAGCAATCCGTTGGTTTTTTCCGCTAAGCTCTACGACCTTCCGTTTCGAAACGCCAGGGGGGGGTCGTAACAACCCCCCCCCCCCCTGGTCGTTCGTGTTATGAGAAATGGCCTGGTCGTGCGAGGGCTAGGCCTCAAATGCTGCATATTTAGCTCGGCCGAATCGTCCTTCCGTCTACGTACTGATTCTTTAGTGTTGTGTTTTTACGACGCAGGAAACATTAGGTACGTTGAAGACTGCCTATAGTAGCTAGGCACGAGCCATCTGACTTGACCATACACACCTATCCGTGCTTCTATCCTCAGGATACTGAAATCCTTCTCCTCCACGCCGCAACCCCCCTCCGGGCTGGACAGGCAACTTTATCTCATGCGGGCTGCTCCCTTGGAGCGGCGCCGCTGCTCCTGGGGGAGCGCACCCCGTAGCCGGGTGCAGTGAGTGCCTTGGGGCTGGGTGGCCTGTCCTCTGGACGGGCTCAGCCCCGGCGACTCACTAGGGTGCCTGCCCAGACCAATGTCTCCCCCTAATTCCTATCATCCTTCCGGCTCTGCAATGGTCTTGTCGACCGAAAGGGCCTAACCCAACAAAACAAACAAAACAAAATTGACCATGCATCGTCAAAGAGTACAAATACTCACCTGCTGGAGCCGACCATTGTTACAAAGCAGTCACGTTATCCCATAATAAATTGCATACCATGAAAGCACAATCTTTCCATCGTGAGCCATATTGAACGTACCAAATGTGCAGTATGGCCGTGACAACCGACGAGCCCCGCCCCACCCCTCGCCCATGTCCCACCTGTAGGGTCGTCCTCCGCTCTATGCCCACACCCCGGCGCCGCTCAGCCCGTGCTTCCCCTGTGGTAGCGGACTTTCCTATATAGCTCCCATCGGATCCTCTCCCCCCCCCGGCGATCTCTCAGCCCTCCGGAGCGGTTTCTCAGCCCTCCACGACCACCACCCCACCCAGCCCTCCAGTACAGCCTCCCAGAGGACGAGTTACAGCTAATGACTCGGCCGCCCGCGGGAGCCATGTCCGCCGTTTGTTCAGCAACCCGACCAATGTGTCGCAGCTGGGCAAAGTCAGACCGGCCCGGCCGCGGACAAACAGCCAGGCCGATCGCGGCTGCGAGCACTGGCTACACACTACACAGACCGGCGCGGTGGGGGTGGGGCGCGGCCGAGAGGTCGCCGCGGCGGACCGCTCGGGTTACCGGGGAGCTCGCAACGCTGTGGATAGCTGCACAGTGCAGAAGCCACTGGATGATAGTGATCGGCAAGTGGGGTGAAGCTCAGCAGTCAGCCGTATCCATAACCCAACGCTTAGCAGCTAACATTATTGCTGAAATTTAGTTGACCCCGGGAACATATACACTGAACAACAATAACATACCTACATTAAATTTGTGTGAACTGTTTATGGCACATCCAATGCACACCTACCCCTGACCTACCCGTTCATAGATGGCGCTAGTGGTGTACGCCTGGAAGCATGCTGTGCCGCACGATCCGAATTGACTGTGGGGCAGTTCGTGTTCCTATCCATAGATGACGCTAGTGGTAAACACCTGGAAGCATGCTGTGCCGCACGACCGGCGCGCTAAGTCGACGCCTAAATGTATGCTGTGCCGCACGATGGCAGAGCAGTTTACATTTTTCTGTCCATAGATGGCACTAGCGGTATACGCCTGAATGTATGCTGTGCCGCACGACCCGAACCTGGCGGCAGATCAGTTCATTCCTGTCCATAGATGGCGCGCCGAGTCGACGCCTGAATGTATGCTGTGCCGCATGACAGCAGAGTAGTTCACATTCCTGTCCATAGATGACGCGCTAAGTCGACGCCTGAATGTATGCTGTGCCGCACGACGGAAGAACAGTTCACATTCCTGTCCATAGATGGCACTAGTGGTGTACGCCTGAATGTATGCTGTGCCGCACGACGCTGGCCGCCAGCCAGCTCCCGCGCCCCGGTACCCAAGCCCGTATACCGGCACCTGCCGCGCCACAGCGCTGTCACAGGCGTCGTGGATAACTCCGTGCCAGTGCGGCAAATGGATTTCCGGCTTACGATCAATGTGAGATCCGTCTGCAACGGGCGCTCATGCATTGGCTGATGCATAATTCTGGAAGGTGATGCTTGATTGCAACAATTAAAATCAAATGAGCTGCATTATGATCTAGACGATATCAGTCATTGGAGTGTTCATGTCAGTCATTATCAGATCAATAAATGTAATTGAATTTGTATTGAGCCAGACAGGCTAATAGACTGCACGGATCAATGCTGCACGTCCCGAGACAATCTCATTGTAGGAAATCGATAATGATCACCTTACACCGTCCTGAAGCATTTCTTGGTGATTAAATGGCGCCTACAAACTTTGTCGTTTTCCGTCAAGGCGGTGTTCTCTACCATGCGTTGCTTCATTAACCCTCGCCCTGGCAGGGCATTTTTCATAACACGGCCTGGCAGGGGGGGGGGGGGTCGATGCGACCCCTCCCCTCGCGATTGGCTCCTATGGCACCTAGAAACACCAAATTTGGTAGGTAGGTGGGCCCCCTGGAGTTTTCGCCCCTGTGCAAATTTGGTTGCTCTAGGTCAATATTTAGGGGGGTTTTGAGGGGTATAAATGTAAAAATTTCGCTAAAAACAGGTCAAAAGATTTTCGCTTATAACTTTTGATTTAATTAAAGATAGGGCAAAAAAAAACACCAGTGAACTCATCACGCCAAGGCGCGTCAAATGATATACTTTTTAGCTTGCTTAAGTGTACTTAAAGTTTTCTTAAATTTTAAGTAAACTTTAATTAATTAATTAAGTTCAAGTTAACCAAATTGCATCATATCGCATATCATTCGATTCGGCTGATCACCAGGAACACAATGATACCATTTTTTAAGCTTTAGCGTCATTATGTGCCAAGTTATTGGCAAAAAAGTCATTTGACCTCAGTTGACCTCATTTGACCTGACCCATGGATAAGTACACCAAACAAAGAAGCACCAAGTGACCTGCTGTTAAGTACTGTGGTTTCAAAGCACAAAAGTGATAGAACGGAGCGGATACCTCCAGTATTTTCCGAATTTAGTATTTTCCCATAGGCTTAACATTACGACGTAATGACCTCTAACCAGGGCTGCGGAGTCGGAGTCGGAGTCGGAGTCGGAGTCGATTTTAGAAACCCGAGCCGGAGTCGGAGTCAGAGTCACCGAAAATCTGTCGACTCCGCAGCCCTGCTAGGTCTGCGGAGTCGGAGTCGGGAGTTGGAGTCGGTCGGAGTCGACAAGTCTGCCCGGAGTCGGAGTCGGAGTCGGAGCTGGTTTTTGAAAGCCGGAGTCGGAGTCGGAGTCGGAGTCGCCGAAAATCCATCGACTCCGCAGCCCTGCCTCTAACTGACCTCAGGT